CAGGCTGCCCCCCATCCCTCCCAAAGGGCTCCTTGGCAGGCGTTGCCCCCCTGGCACTCGTGGCTCAAGAGCAGGAGGCTGCTGCCACCCCCCCTGCCCGGGGTGGCTGCAGGCTTCTCTTTTGCACCGATCTTGGTGCTTTGGCATCCCTTGGAGGGCAGGACGCCCGTGCACTCACGACCCGGGCTGGGGACACCCAACTTCAATGTTTCCCACCCGCCAAAGCACGCGGGAGCCGCGTTTCCCACGTGCCCTCCCCGAAACCCTCCCGCGCTCCCTCTTTCCCGCACGGGCCGCTCGGGCTTCCTCCCTCCCCACAGGGCTGGGGACACCCACCTCCGATCCGGGCGTTGTAGGCCACGCCGACACCGCAGATCCCGTTGTTGGCCACGGCAGCCACCTCCCCGGCGCAGCGCGTGCCGTGTCTGCAAGGGAGAACGGGATGAGCGGCCGCCCTGGCCAAGGATCCCCCTGGCTGCCATGTCCCAGCCCCTCCGGGTGCTGAGGAATGGGGTCCGTGACAGGAGAGCCAAGAGGATACAGGAAATGAGCGGCAAAGCCAATTACTTGTTGCATTTGGTGTCCTTTCCTAAATGCTGCCATGTGGAAGCTTCAATCGAGGTTCAAAAAGCACATTCATGTTTTGACATCTAATGCACTAGCATGGGGATTCACTCAGAGATCAGCATCTCTAGGGGCAGTTGCATAAGGTCGGTTCCAAAACAGCTTTTGCCCCTTGCAATCAGACCGGGGAACGTATTTCCAGAGGTGGCTTGGTGATTTTGCAGTGCAGGGCTTGCTACCACCATTGGGATACCAGGGCTCCACCTCCCTCTGCCACAGCTGTCGTGGGACCTGCTTATTCCCTCTCCGCTCCGCTTTTCCCACCTTCGAAACCCCGATTAAAGCATTAAGGTTTTCCATCCAATTAACCCTGCTCTGGACGGGGATCGCTGCGGCTGGGCCTGGCATTGCCAGCCCTGTGTTTGCTGCAGAACGCGCGCCACGTACTTGTTCTCGTTGCTGGCATCGTAGCGCGGCGTCGGGTCGTGGTCATTCCCATTGACGTCGTAGCTCGCCAGAGGGTCCTGGAAGCAGTTGTCATCCGTGAGCTACAGGCGACTTATTTGTACAGCGCCATCCCAAGCTCCCTGCCCGGATCTTCCTCACCCGCCGGAGCTGCTGCCCTATGGCACCTCCATGTTATCTGGAGGGGCCCTTCTTGTGTCCCTTGCTCCTCCTCGGATATTAAAACCGCTGCAGACAAAGCACCTCTGGAAAGTGCATGGTTCAGTATTTCTGCTTTTGCAATTATGCCTTTCGGGGGATGGAGGCGGGGACTGCAAAGTGCTCACACCATGAGTAAAACACAAGGCTAAAACTGCAGAGCCTCCGAGCCAGGAGATGCTGTATTAGCACCACTGAGCACTCTGGGCTCGAGGTCGGCAGTGGGGATGTTTTGGCAGTAAATGGCATTTTTCACTTCATTTCTGACACTTTGCTTAAGGAAAATGCAGGTTTTGTGCTGTAACCTGGAGCTCGTTGCGGGCTGGGAGCCGGAGCCACAGCTCCCAAGCCAAAAAGCAGAGCTGGGATTCGGAAGGAGCCCTCTGCAGCCACAGCGCATGGGGCTCCCGGACATCACCGCATCTAAAGGCAGCCAGCAAAGCCCCACATACATCATGGAAACCCATCAGAGACCAATTCCCCAGCAAGCACAAGCTGCCCTTGGTACCCAGGGAACCGTCCTGTTTAGCAGCCGATACCCAACCCCGCGCCGGAGCCGTGCCGGGCTCCCTGCTACTCACATAGTTCTGCAGGAGGTCGGGGTGGTTGCGCTCGATGCCGTCGTCCAGGATGGTGACCACCACGTTTTTGCCCGTGTAGCCCCGCTGCCAGGCCGCCAGGACGTTCATTTCTGAGCGGCAGCGGCTGCTTTTATCCCCGCAGTGCTAAGGGCAGAAAGGGCAGAGCACCAACTCCGGCAGTGCCGCGAGCCCGGCACCGGAGTCCCCCTCTACAACTCACCCACTTGCTCTAATTTCTCCTCATCAATCCAAAATAGAAAACACAATAAAATAGCATAGCAGGTAATGTGGGCAACGCTACCTTGCTAGGGCTCATTTCTATGTCAAACACTGCGGGTTCTGCAATTTAGGCTAGGAGGAGCTCGCTTGCTTTTAAATGGATTTTCCTACCAATTTGGGGGGAGAAAATACTGAAGAGCGAGCCGGGGCACTCACCAGGTACCACATGTTGGGCCACACCGGGTCGTTGAAGGGCAGCGGCTGCGGGTCGCCCCGGACGAGCCTCTTGACGCGGCGCTTGACCTCCTGCTGCTGCAGCCACTCCACCTGCGAGCGCGGCCGGGGCTGAGCGCGGCCCCGCGCCCGGCCCTCCCAAACCCTCCACCGCCAAACCCGGCAGCCCCCGGCAAAATCCCTGCCGGCACCGGCTGTGCATTTGCAGGATGAGAAGATTCACAGAAGTTAGAAAGGAGGAGGAAAAGAAGGGGAAAAGGAAGGAAAAAGGATCTTTTGCTGCTAGAAGAGGTCAAGATGGCTACAACCACCTACAAGGAGGTGTTTTCCCCTGGTACTTCCACATTTTCGCGCTCGGAGGATGATGTACAGATGGGGCCTTGGGGGCTGTACTGCTTCACATGAGCTCTGCTCTGGGGATGCCAGCAAGCCCCCCCTACCCTGCTTTGCAACTCCCAGAAAAGCCCCATATTCTGCTTTTTTGCAGGGAAAAGTGGAACAGAGCGAGCAGGGACTCTGCATCCCAGTGCATGCCCGCACGCAGCTATTTTGCAATTCCCATTGCCCGGAATCACTCTGCTTCGGGGCAGACAGCAGGGAAACACCTCTGTCCCGAGAGGCGCCAGGGTGGCCATGCTGGACACGTCCCACATAGGCAGAAAAAGGGGAGAAAAAAACCCACAGGCAATACCCTAGAGAGGGAAGATGAAGAAACCGGGCTGCAAAACCGAGCATGGAGCCCAAATGAAACTCAAAGGGAAATTCGGTTCCTGCGTCGTGAGCCACAGGCGGGGCGTGGCGACCCTTTTGCCGGCGGGGCGCAGGCCTCGGGGCAGCCGACTATTTTCAGCACATAAATAACTGCACTGGAAACAATAGCCCCCTCAAAGACACGAAGCTCAAAACATCTGCAAGCGATTGAATTCGCTGCTTCTCCTGCAATATTCTGTTTCCATCTTTGCCATTCCAGCTTGAGATGTTCGTGTTTCATTGTGGCTTGTGGTAATTATTCCCCTTTTTTCCCCCTTTGTGCCATGCATGCCAATTAAGCGCCATTCAAAACGCAGGGACACCTCCCAAATCATTTGCAAATGGGAAGAGGGAGAAGAGAAGGCGCCTTCCAGCACATCTTGAACTCCAGCTGATAAGTAAAGACTCGAGAGAAACGAGGGCTAAATGCACTAACTCGTAGCCTGTAGAGCAAGGTTACGGTAAATGTTAATAGACTAAGAGCCATTTGACTCTGTTTGCATGATAACCAGGCTCATTTACATGGAGGCATTTCAACACGGATGGGAATCCGTAATTTGCTCCAATGCCTCTTCGCTTCCCTAAGGGGAAACAGCTTTAATTAGAATCTAGGCTCACAAGCAGCCGGTCCCAGTGGGTCTCCAGGGCCGGAGTGCTCCCATCTCCGCACCAACCATCCCACTTGTGCCTCCAAAAGTGCTGCCCACCCCATCCATATACTTTACAGCAAACTCCTCAGCAAAGTGGGCTGGCCAAGAAAAGGGGATTTGCTGCATAGGATGAGGCTGCAACGGGAAGGAAATCCTTGGGGAAAACCTTGTTCCTAAATCCCAACTTTCCCATGACAAGGAATGCAACGTTTCACCCTATGCAGTGGTGCAGCAGGTCCCGTCTGCTCCGACTTCTCTTTTTAATCCCCCTCCCGCTACTTTTGGCAATTCAGCTGCAAGGAAAAGAAAATCCCTTCGGATGCTTGCTCAAGGAAAGAGCAATGCGCGGCCGCTGCCAAAGGCCTCATTCGTAGCAACCACGGAGGCAACAAGTGTTGTGGCAACTGGATCAACACCCCTCGCGCACACAGCTTCCCCGCTGGAAGGCTTCTTTCCCTCTTTGCCATCCCCGTTTTGCAGGCAGATGTTAGTGCTTAGTCCTTGTAAGTGTTTCTCCTCCCCAGCAAACACCCTCGTACCCAATGAGTCACCCCGTGCGTGCGAAGGACGGCGTTTGGAGGCTGCGAGCGCGACGCTCGCCGGACACGAGAGCGGCTCCGGAGCAGCACCCGGAGCATCGCACCGAAATAAGGATCCCGGGGGGACGGGGACTCGTGTCCTACCTTGGGGTCCATGCGGAGGAAGCTGTGCGGCCCCCGGCTGCTCAGCGTCGAGCGCTTGAACGTCCTGCTGTGGTGGAAGTGGTAGTAGTTCTCCAAATTCCCGATCTGCAGGAAGAGGTGGGAGAGGGTTGCCGGGCACATTCCCGAGGATGCTCTGAGCCCGCGGCCAGCTGGAGCGCGGCCCCAGCCCCAACTGTCCCCGTGGTCTGTCGGAACAAGCTGGACACATTCTGGTTATTTACATATTTATCATACTTAATGCCGCTAGCTTTGCCAGGGCCTCTTCGGAGCGTGTTAAATATATAATTAGCTTTGCCTTTGATGCCAGCGTGTTATTTTACTTACTTGTCTTTCCTGCAGCTCATGTCATTTTTGCAATTTGCTTCCACTCAGTTTGAGCACCTCTCCCCTCACCTGATTTTTCCCCCTTCCCCATGGAACAGCTCTGCTTTTCCCAGAGCATTGATACGCAGAGCTGTTGCTCGCTGCAAACTCCCTCTGCCTCTGCAGTTGCCTTCTACGGCCCCTTCCTTAAATTCACTCCTTAAGGAAGCGGGAAGAGGCTTAGACATCCCCAAACTTTGGGAGAAGCTTGTGCTTCCACTTTGCCTGAAAATCCACGTTCTTTGGGCCATGTGGTTTCGTTCTGCTAGCTGCTGTTTCCCAGCCTACGCTTTGCAGCTTTATAACACTCCTTTTCTTCTAATCCCCGTTCCCTCCGGCGCTCGTTTTAACAGAATCACCCTTTCTAAACAAGCGCCCGCGGAAGCAGCGCTGCCCTTCGCTGGCGCACGCTGCCCCTTCCACAGGTTATTAGCAGGAATAAACGCAAAGCAGCCGCGCGCTGGGGGTCGGGGACGGGACGGGTCGAGAGCCCGGGGAGCGCTCAGCTCCGTCACGGCCCCCGGCACCATCTGTGGGGCACGAGCCAGCCCGTCCCACGCCGAGCAGGGTTGCTTAACAGAGGCAGGCAGGGGCAAACCGTCGTGTTTTGAAATATTCAGCTATTTCTCTGCCATTAACCACCGTTCTCTGTGTGCCCCCTCCAAGAGCCCTCGTCTCCCGTGGGGTCCCATGAGAGCCGGGGATGAGCTCGGCCCTCTCGTCGTGTCCCCACTGGTCTCGCTCTGAGGACAGCGACTAGGAGACCACAAGAAAGAATCGTTGCTTCATCTGAGTTTTTCTGACTGGTTTACAATTTCTGCCTCCCTAAAGAACCACAAGATGAGGAATTTATACACCTCCCAAGAGAGAAGAAGAAATGGGGAACAAATATTTTTTAGGGGAAGCAAGAAAGGAGTGAAATCTGTGTCGGAGTAGTTGGAAACGTGGAGCTAATGGAAGGGGAACATGGAGAGCCCGGTGGTCTGAGCCACCCCAAACCAAGCCTGGCACTACGCAGCAGTTCTTTACCCGTGGGATTTGCTAAAGGAAAAGGGAAACCTTTTCAAGCGGGATCCAACCTGAACATTTGCCCTCTTCTGAGCAGGAGTTTCGGCCAGATGACGTCCCAGTCTACCCCTTCAACTTTAAATTATCCTATGCAGAAGAATTTAAAAATGCAATTTTCATCTAAGGAGTTGATAAAGGAAGAATTTGCTGTCCTCTGCCCTGAGATCTAAGAGGACAATTAGCTCAGCGCGGGCTCCAGCAGAGCTGCTGCAGCAACAGGAGCTGATGTATGATCCGTGCAGACGAAAGTACTGGAGAAACAACAGAATCAGGTTCATTTCTAAGTGACATCTGCAAAACTGAAGCCAAAACGCTGCTGACAGCCCTCCATCCACCCGTTAAAGAAGCCCCTGCCCACTGCGGTCCCGACAACGACCTGCCTCTCCACTCGCGTCAAGGGACTCATGGTCCCTTTGGAAGCCACCTAGAAATTCCCGTTCCTTCCCCCGTGCTGCTCCATGCAACTATTGATCTTGATTTTCTTTTTTTTTTTTTTAACATCCAGCTGCTGCCAAGAACGTGCTAGGGAGGCTCTCATTTAAACAAGGGTCGATTTTAATTTGCCCAATCGATTAGCGGTTTCAGGCTGCGGCAGGAATTTCAAGGGAATTGAGATTTTTTGGGGGCAACCCAAGCCTGTAGTTCAGCAAAAACGAGCTGAAGTTTTTGTGCTTTTTTTCTTCTTAATTGTGGCAAACAAGCACTGGCACAGAGCCGATGCTGCCCAGCTCCACTCGCTTGTGTTTGCAGCAAGCAAGAAACAACCAGAAAGTGATTCTTGCCTTGCGACGTCCTCTCTATCACGCTAAGGGTAGTGATGGCTCCGTTCCTACCAAACAAGGAACGGTTTGAGGCTGGAGAAGCCATTCCCACCCTTGGCAGGACCTGGGTGGAGAAGGACACCCGTGCACCCAGCATTGCGCCATCCAGGAGGCCATGGAGACCCATTGGGATGAGTATCAGGTCTCTGCTGTTTTGGCCTCAAGGACTGGCATCCTCCCCATAAACAGGCATCTGCCCAACCCGTTTTTGGGAAGGCTGAGGTTGCTTGGAAAGCAAGAAGTCAATTCTGATAATTTGCACAAGACGTTGGTAATCCACCAAAAGCGACGTCAAGGCTGCTGGGCTGTCTCCATCCACCCGACAGGGCGGGTTACAGACACAACACATCCACAGCCAGAGGACGGGAGGCAACTTGCAGCAAGAGAAATCCTGATTAGATATAAAGAAATGGAGTTTTAATGTAGAGTGGTCACCCACTGGCCAGGAGAGGTGGTGGGCTCCATCCTTGAAGATATTCAAAGTTCAGCCAGTCAAGGCCCTGACTTAACTTCAGATTTAGACCAGAGGTCTCCAGAGGTCCCTTCCAGCCCCAGTTACTCTTCAAAGGCAGCTCTTCAACCACACTGCTTGTAATGGCTCTTATCTCCTCTAGATCAGCCCCGCGCACAAATAACGGCAGGAAGGGGAAGGTGACCTGGCCTCCATCCAACAGGGTGGTCCCTGGGCCAGCACTGGGGTTGCGGCCAGGAGGTTGCTCCTGTACTAAGGCCATTAGTACTAGAACAGGCTGGAGATCCCTTGTAGCTAGTGAGACACCACAGTGGTTGGTGGGAATGCTGGCGCAGATGGAGGGTTGTCCCATGCCAGTGCTGAGTGGCAGGGATGAGGATCCAAGCAAGGCCCAACCTCTAACTCAGGTCCAGGTTGGACCCAACATGGAGCCGGCAGCCGTCGCTCTCCAGAGGGGACCCCCCAGCCCAGCTCGGGGACATATTCGTGAGGTCCTTCAAAGCTTCCACCCCGGACACCGAATAAGGAAGGATTCCGGTGTGACTGTAACGGGCCGTGGGCAGGTTTATCGGCGTGACGGCACAGCCGTCCCCGCGCCATCCCCTTGCAACGCGGGCCTGTCCCGGCTTGCTCCGTACGTCACGGCTGGGAACCCGCGGCCGTGCGGGCTGAGCACGCGCCCGGGGAGTGTTTTACCTCGCTGCAATTTCTCTCTCCCCTGAAATAAAAACCAAATCCACTCTGCGTGCAAATTATTCCCCCAGTGAAGTGCTCACTGCCCTTTCCCAAAGGGGTTTGAGGGTGCTCTGGCTCAGCCCGTCGTGGCGGGTGAGGAGGCAGCCCTGGCAGCGCCCTGCACACACAGCTTGAGGCACTGAAACCGCTTCAGATCCCAAATTGGAGCAAACAGCCCTTTTTCCCCCACTGCGGTTACCCCTGTGTGTCAGGGAAGTTGAGATCCCACCAGCAGAGCAAGGCCAGCCCAGAGAAGCCCATGGTCATGGACAGCGTGGGGTCTGGACCCAGTCGGGCGGGTTTGACCGTTTTCCTGCTTCTCCAAGAGGGATTCCCACAGCCAGCACCAGACATCCCTGCTCCCCGATTCACCGTCTGCCTTGCCACCAGGGACTTATCTCCACCCAGACATCTCCCGCCGCCTCCCTGCCGGGTAGGGCTCCCAGGTGGCTCCTTCCCGCTGTTCCCGTGCCCTGGGAAGGAGCCAACTCCAGCTCCACCTCATCTGCCCGCACGACGCTTCTCCCCGATCGGAGCCCGTGGGCATCTGTCTGCTCCACGTCCCGTCCATGGGCTTCTCACCCGGCGCGACGGAAGAACAAAGCTGGAAAACAGGACTTTTCTGCCTCTATCCATCAGGACTGTGGTTTCTCACGGGAAAAATCTCAGGCATGGCCCAACGGAGACATCCCTTCAGGCAGCCCTTCCAGGCAGCCAGCACTGCCACTCCATGTTGCATCCAACAACACTTGCCGTGGGCACTGCCCGCTCCAGGGAAGCTGCAGATCCGGCTGCTGGACCAGGAGAGGACACACGTGGCCACAGCCCGGGCTGAAGCCACAGAAGCTCTGAGGGCAGCAGCAGCTTCAAGCACGATGCCACCACGTGAGGCAAGTGTCACCCATGAAGGCACACACGGTGCGTGTGGAAAAGCCATATCTCTGGATTTGACACTGGAGACGCTGCCATGGGAATCACCTGTTGGCTCTGGGGGGCTCGTGCCGAGTTAAAAGGAGGAAAGAGCTCAAGGAAGAGTCCCGAGAGCAGCCGAGAGGCCGGGACGCCACACGGAGGTGCACGTGCTCCCGCTGCAGCGTTTGCGGGCGAAACGGGAGCCAGGAACACCCTGATGCAACCACTCAAATATTTCTTTTGGTCTTCAGCCTGCTCGTGCGCCTGGAAGAAGGGCTCCGTGGACGACTGTCACTGGCTGCATGACCCAAAGGGGAGCAGAAACCCCCACGGGCAAAACCCAGAACCAGGAGCCACATGAGATAAATGCAAACCAGAGGAGAGGTGCATATTTACCAAAGGCCAGAGAGTGGGAGAGCATAGATCAAGATACTCTCCAGCCAAGCAGGGATAAACACAGAAGCCCTTTAATTACATTACATAGCATGCAAGACTCCGCTTTTCTGGCCATATGATAGAAACATTTGGATAATATCGCTGATTCCTCACGGGCGTTGGAGAAGAGCCCGGGGCCTGCAAACAGGCGGGTGGGATCCGGGCAGAGCATCCGCAGCAGGAGCCCGTGTCCCGGTGCAGCCTCCCCGTCGGGATTTGTTTACCCAGCATCCTGCCGCTTTACGTCTCAACCCTATTCTTAAGTATAATTAAAGCGAGGTTATAATTTGCAGGTCAGGAGACACCTTCTGCAG